TAAATTAGAAAACTTTATTGACTATAAAAAGATTTTTTTTTTTTTGACAAATGTTAAATAAAAGTTGTTTCAATTATTATAAAAAATAAATAAATTCCAATGCACAATGGCCAAAAAACTTTAGGATGATTATTGAATTAATTAGCTAATTAACATAAATAAAAGTTGTTTCAATTATAATAAAAAATAAATAAATATTCCAATGCATAATGGCCAAAAATACTTTAGGATGATTATTGAATTAATTAGTTAATTAACATAAATAAACCTACAGTGTATTACTTTTATCAATGTGATCAAATTATTTTCTCTCTTTTTACAAATTAGTTGTTATTGGTGACGTGTTACACACACACGTGTGTTCGCAGTCCAAACCATTAATTAGGGATTAAGATGTGTGACAGAGATTAAACCTTTTATTTCATCTATGCAATGAGCTATATCATCTTTTGATTCACAGGTAGTGAGAGATCATCTCTTATCAGCCTAGCAATGTGATTTATCTTCCTTCTCTGAGTGGCGTGAGCATGAAAGAACTTCGAGTTCTTATCGTCGTGCTTTAGCCAGTCGACTCTGGGACTTCTGATGCAAAAAGATCTCTTCAAATCTATAGGCTTCATTCAGGCTTTTCTGAATGTTGTCCCAGAGTCTCTTAGATTTCACTGTATTTCAAAAGCGCATTCCTAGTATACCATTTCCGGAAAAACAAACCAGAGTTTCACTGTTATTTCGAAAGACCATTCGCAGTATACCATTTCAGTGACCTCTTTCTTATAGCTTTCGGAGACTGATGGGTTTAGTTCTTATAGCTTTCGGAGACCGATGGGTTTAGTCCATTCACAAGTACACATATATACTGAAAGGCTTTGTAGAGGCACAAAGAAACTAGAAATCTCTAATGCCCTGGGACAAAATAGATCGCAGGGTTGCTTATAATTGCCTTTATAGGCCAATCGAATATCTTTCCTGGAATTTGTGGCCAGAATTGGGTATATTAAAATCATCGCACGATGCGTAGCAAAGTTGCCGAACAAGAATCCATGAATACAAGCATATCAGAAATACAAGCTCTACAAAAAAAAATCTTGTGAGTTCTCTACAATGAAGAAAGAGACTGTAAGCAATTACCATCAACAAGTAGCAATAATAACGGAAAGTTACTTCCATAATTCTTCCATGGGGATGCCACGCTCCTCAGCGACCTCCTTGAACTGCCTCATCTTCTGGACTGCAACAACTGTTGCCCGCGCATTGTTGAGGGCGTTTTTGCTGCCCAATTGTTTCCCAAGAGCATTTTCAACACCAGCCATCTCGAGCACGATCCTCACAGCTCCCCCAGCAATGACTCCTGTACCGGGGGATGCCGGCCTCAGCATCACCTTTGCTGCCCCATAGTCTGCCTCAGCCCTGCCCCCACCACAATTATTCAAAATCAAATCAAAATCGGAATATGTGCTAATGTATGTTGCTGAAACTGAAGCAAGATTCTTTCATATTTGATCATAGCTCGTCTTGAATAACAACTGCTGCAGCCTTCTATCGATTACAAGTTACAACACCACTTCTCACTCAAGGATAGCCATTTGTATAAAATTACTCATCAGAACAAACATAGAGACAGACAAGCACATATCATCTCCCGATGCGGGAGATGCTACAGTACCATTAAGGAACCATTCCGTCGGGATTTGTAACTGCTATATCAACTATCCACGACGGTTACATGATGATCTAACGGTTACAAATCCCGACGAAATGGTTCTGTAACGGGACTGTAGCATTTCACGATACAAACAAAATCCTCATATCACAAAGATAATCTTAAACCACTCCACCTCAATTCTTCAAATACATATCCAATTGATAGAACAAGAATTTACCAAAATAAATAACAATGGCAGCAGAAGAAACTACTGTAGTGCAAATCTATTAGCTCTGCACAAAGATAAAAAAACTCACCTGTGCGGAAATGTCTTGTACTTGGTCATGGGAACGGCAGTTATATTCCTTCTGGCATTAACGGCCGATTTCTGCACGGCCGTAACGACTTCCGCCGCCTTACCAACGCCGACCCCAACATTGCCCTTTTTATCCCCAACCACCACAATTGCCCTGAAATTCAGCTGTTTGCCTCCCTTGACGACTTTGGTCACCCGCCGAACTTGGACAACTCTCTCCTCGAACCCATCCCTCACCTTCTCCTTCTGGATATTCTTCTTCTTCACCTTTGGGTCCATCACGAACACATCGTTGCCCAGAAAGGACTCCCCGCTGTAGGCCGGTCCGTAGACCTCCTCGTAGGCCCGGGCGATGTCTTCCTCTGACATCGGCGGGCCCTCGTCGAACGACGGCGGTGGGACGAAGCCCTCCGGCTGCTCTGGAGGGCTGAAAGTGTTGTCCTCGTCGGGGTCGTCGGTGTCGAAGAATATCGTGTCTAGGTCGGAGGGGTTAGCTAGCGGAGGCGATAGTTTGTGCGAGGGTTTGGAGAGGATAGAGAAAGGGGGTTTCGAGGTGGAGGTGTGGAGACGGTGGGAGGTGGGAGGAGACAGTTGGGGGCGGAGGGGGTTGACGGAGAGTGAGGATAAGGTGGCTGCGATGAATGTGGCTGAAGCGGCAGCCATTGTAGGTGCCTGATTGGTAACTCGGTAGTGGAATGGAAATGATAGAGAGGGGATAAGACTGCTTTTCTCGTTTGGGTATTTATGCAAGGTTTACTTGCACTCAAATTGGGCAAAGCTACGAGTTGGTTTACTTGTGTTGAACCAATCTTTATTTATTTTTTTATTAAAATATCATAGTATATTCATACAGTAAAATATTTTAATAAATTCATAAGGTAAAATATGCCGCGCCCCATGTGTTCAACGAAATCTACGTGTTTTTTCAGTGTGTTCTAACTTTTAAAAAAATATGTCATACCTCTTTATATACTGGCAAATTTCATAACCGTTGAAGTTAACATGTGTGTATGTAATGTGTTGGATGTGCAGGTGTTTGGACATATTTCCTAACACATGACACCAAAGATGCACCTACTGACATAGTGCCACATCGCAGTGGGAGAATTGTTAGATAACCGGACAGATTCATGTTCTTGAGAGAGTCTTCTGATTTAGTCTTCTGTAATGTGAGATTGAGTCAATTGACTTCATTAAGGTCTGAAATCTTATAGAACCACACAGTTGGTTTGACCCGTTGGATACAAGTGGTTCTACGAGAGAAGGAGATAATCAGATGGAAATGTAGAAACCTTCAAAGAAAGGCTTATTGCGAAAAAGTATACTAAGAAAGAAGGAATTGATTATGAGGATAACTCTTTCGTCCGTAGACATACTCAAGTCCAATCGAATTCTCTCGGTTGTTTCCGCAAGTATGGATTATGAGATTGGACAGATGGATGTCAACACAACTTTCCTTACCGAGAGTCTTGATAATAACATTTTTATACAACAATCACAGGGGTTCGACGCAAAGCCGTGAGCATCTACTATGCAAGCTAAAACAAACCATTTTATGGGTTGAAGCAAGCTTTGAGGTCTTGGAACATCCAGTTTGATGAAGTGATCTAGTCGTAGAGGTTCACTCAATTATTGAACGACCACTGCATGTTCAATAAAAGTGAGAAAATGTGGTGGTGATTTTTTTTATATGTAGACGACATCCTTCTCATTATAAACAATGTAAAGGTGTTGTTAGACGTAAAGGTATGGTTATCCAAGCAGTTTGATATGAAGGATTTGAGAGAAGCGAGACATATTCTCGGGATCAAAGCGATTAGGCACCGTGATAATATGATGTTTTGTTTATCATAGTCTTCATACATTGAAGTTTTCTTAATTCGTTTCAGCATGTAAGATTCCAAAAAAGGTTTCTTACCTTTTCGGCATGGGATTCAATTATCTAAGGAGGTCTCCTAATATTCCTCAAAAGATAAAGGACATGAGAGAGATCCTTTATGCCTCGGCAGTATGAAGTCTCATGTATGCAATGTTGTGTAAGAGGCCAGATATTTGCTAACTAGTAAGCACGGTAAGTAAGTATCAAAGTAACCCAGGACAGGGTATGTGTTTACTATGGGAGGTGGAGCCATAGTATGACCGAGTGCCAAGCAGAAATGCGTGGGAGACTCCACCATAGAAGTCGAGTATGTTGCATCTGTTGAGGCACCGAAGGAGGTTGTGTAGCTCAGGAACTTCTTGATGGACTTAGATGTGGTGCCAAGTTTTCCCAAAGGTATTACGTTTTACTGTGGTAATAGTGGTGCATTAGCAATCTCAAATGAGCCACGAGACCATAAGGCGATTAAACACATTGACCGCAAGTACCACATGATACGAGAGATCGTAAGAAGAGAAGAAGTTGTGGTTGCCAAGATAGAATCAACATACAAACTAGCGGATCATGTCACGAAGATTTCACCGACGAAAGTCTTCAACAGACACGTGGAGGGAATATGAGTTAGATGTTTGGTGATATGATCAACATAGGTCTTTGATATTAAGAATGAAAGTTGTATACTAGGAAAAGCAACACTTGTAAGTATATGTGGGAGAATGTTATTGTGTATACTAAAAGCTTGTCTTTTTCTTATGAACATTATTTCTTTTTTAATGAGAATCCTATTTAATTAAACGCTTCAACCTCCTGTTGTTTTACATTTAGATAAGTATGGTTCATCACGAATGAGCCTAGGATCATATTATCAGTTACTTGTAAAACATAAAGACTGATTCACAACCTAGATAAAATTGAACAAACTACCGAGAAAGGTTGCAGTGTAATTTAGGTTGATTGGTCGTAACTGATGAACTACACTAGTACACAAGTGTATTGAGTTACACTAGTACACTAACTACGTAATTAAACTGTATCTCGGTAATCACTACGTACTCTTAAGCCAAAAAATAACAACGTGCATGAGCACGTTGTAATTATTTCATTGATTCACTAAATAGTGAGATTCATTCTGTTTGATCAATAGTATAGGTGAGTTAAGAAATTGTATGTATGGTGTGTTGCTCGATTATTTACGATCACCGTGTGTTGGTGCACCTGTTTGATGATGTCCCTAAAACGAGTTCAAGAATGAGTATTATGTCAAGCACTACAAGCGAATTTAATTTCAGTATAATAATAAAAAATTGAGTGGTACAAGTTTCGAATCATGAAGTCAATTTGTAGTGCCCCATCCGATTTAGAAGAGTCTGCTTTATTTTTCATTGCATTGCATTTTATGTTATTTACTCGACAAATTTATCTAATAAGCTTATTATGATAATTTAGATGTCCTCATCTATATAATATAATAGGTTAAGTATTTTTTGTATATGTCCTCGTCTACTTAAATTATTTTCAATTTTATTATTTTTGTCAATAAAAAATCGTTCAAAATCCTTTGGTGCAATCACGTCACGTTTTCAAGCCTTTTTCAAGCAAGACTTGAGCTTTGTACTCAACCCATTTGACTTATATTTTTCATCCCTTGTGTAATCGTTTTCAGCCCAAACACGTAAAATAAACCTGGCCCCGTTGGTGCGAAATTTGGCCCTCTCATTCTGGTCTTTTGGCACCTCTTGAAATTTCAAAATTCAAATTTTTGTAGTTAAACTTGGTAAGCTTATCACCATTGTTTCTCTTAGCTTTTGTTTCGTTGTAGCCGTCCCACTTTGTGTAATCAAGAGAGTATTTCTTTCCCTTGTTGTAATACCATTTCTAGCCCTAATTGATGTCCATTATTGATGCTACTTTATTTCCCTTTTTCCCTCTTGCCTTGACCGCATTATTCATCCAGGTAAGGAGATTTTTATCATCAAAATTTATCCAAGTTCACTTCCCTTCTTACCTTCATGTTCTGTCCCAAAATTCAGATCTCAAAAAAACTTCATTCTCCATCACTCGGCCTTTTAGCCTTCACGCTACCACCAGCCGTTCTGAGGAGGCCTGTGCCAACCACGAGCAGCCACACGATATCGTCGCCGCGAGCACCAGCCACCGAGAGCAGCACCCTCCAACCATCGTCGGAAGCAACAGCCGAGGCGAGATCCACGCGAGCATTCGCAAGCATGTGATCATTTCCATGTCGAGCTCAGCTGCGAGCGGCAGACCGCCGAGGGCACGCGCAACTGCGAGCCACAACTAAGGTTCACCGCGTCCAAAGAGACCAAAAGGCATGCAAATCCTTTTTTTTTATGAACATCCCAGTGTGTGATGGGGGGTTGAGGCTACACCCCCGACCTGTAAATATAATGGCCCATAAAGGGTTAAAAATTCAATGGTCTACATCAATGTCAAAGATACATAGAGTAACATCAAAAACAGAAAAACAAAAAACAAAAAAATATAAGGATCACATAGTATCAAGTCCTCATAAAAGGTGGTCCCGGTGATAGTGGCCTGGCATGAGGTTTAGATCCATTTCAAAAATTAAGATCCATTAAATTGTTGAGAAAAATTTTTTGATCTTTGAATTTATATTGTGTTTTTGTAAATTTGGATCTAATCTTCGAAAATCAAAACCCTTAAGTTTAGATCTAATTCAAAAATTAAAATCCATGTTGAGCTTTGAGTGAACGACTTGGATCTAAAATTTTTGGTGTGTTTTTGTGCAAAGTAGTGGAAATTAGGAACACTCCCTTGCCTTGGTTTTTGATTGAATAACTTTGGGAAAAAGTTTGGTTTTGTGAAGCCCTTTGTTTGTCTTGGAAAAATTAATCCTCATTCATGCCTTCACTCTTGAAAATTTTGTAAAAAGGTTGGGTGGTGTTCGAACCTTCAAAAACCCATTTTGGACTTGGTATTTTTGCCTTAAAATTGGTTGCTTGAACCTTGAACTGAACCCCGAGCACTGGTCGAACAGCCACAGCCCATGGGTGGTGCGAGATTTGGACGGGCCTACTGGCAGCATGTCCCAGCATGCATGACGGTGCCACCGCGTGCGCCCCGCAGTGGCTGCGCACTATGCTACAGGGACTGTGTGTGCTGCATGCAGACCCTATGACCCCGCAGCGGCCGTTCAGAGTCCGTGCATTGTGTTGTCGACGCTCGCAGCATCGCCCGCAGCATTCCAGTGTTGCCCGCAAAAACTCATTCCGCGCTCAATGTCTCAAGTGTCGTGCCAGCGAGTCGCGCCCGATGTCCCAGGTGTCCCGCCAGTGAAACGCGACGATTCATGTGTAGCCAACAACAACTTTCACATCCCACGCCTTGCAGCCATCCCTGGTGCCCAGCATCCCAGCGCACATTCTGCTGACCTGTGTGCGCGCCCATGCACCAGCAACGGTCAGGTCACCTAGACGAGCCACTAGTAGCCAGTTCGGTCAGACTCGAGCTAGCGACCAACCCATGCGTACCCCGAGCTGTCCAGTCGTTTTGGGCCATTGGCCTTTTTAAATGGCAAACCTAATTTTTAGCCTTCAAAACCGTTTTTCGAGTCTTATTCTTGAATCAAGAGTTTCAAGTTTCCACTAAAAAATTTATAAACTCCTTAATCATTATTTTTTATTAAGTGAGGAATTTCAATAATTTTCTGAGTATTGCGATAATTTATTGATGAGAATTATCTCGCTTAATTTTAGGTTTTCGATTAGTCGATCCTTCAAACCTACTGTGAGCATTTGCATAA